TGAGGGGGAAGGTGGGTGCCGGTTGTCAGGCGGCGGCGCGGTCCCGGCCGAGGCGGCGGCCGAGTCCCGCTTTCCTGACCCGTTTTTCTCAGTTTCGCGCGTTTTCTCCGAGCGCGTTGAGATGCGTGAACCAAAACCGTATAGAGACACCCCAAAAGCCCCTCTGCCTAAAAGAGATATTTTTTTTTGCTTCTTGCGCCTTGAGGTGAAGGACAGGTTCGCCTCTCAACTCCTCGCTTTGCAGCAGTCAGATTAAAAACCCGGGAATAAACTTTATATGTCTGGAATTGGCAAGTCTGGTTTTAAGTCTTAGAATGATGGCTGTCAGGGGGAGAAAAAAAAAAAGGCAGTGGAACTTGGTTGCCTTGTGGAAGCACTGAAAAGCATCCTACTGCCGCTCGTGCTCTGCTGTTAGACGTTTAGTTTTGAGGATTTGCCCGTTCCGCGGGGTCGTGAGCCCCTTAGGTCCAAACTTCCAATGTTTCCCTGCAACAGTGGGTTTGATGCCTGCTCATGCAGCTCCATCTGCTGTTGACAGGTGAATCGTATATGCTCAGGACTCCGTGTTGAATATCTCTGAGCACGAAGGAGGCAAAATGTTTTCGTTTCTTGTAGTAGCTGGACTTCTGAGTTCTGGATTTTGGCTATATTGATAGCACAAAAAGGTTGATGCTGTCCTTTTAGAAAAGGAAATCGTATGTTTCCTGCACGACTTAAAGCAACTAAAACATGTGAATGGGTGTCTGCACCTTTCAGCAGTGTGTTGAGTTGAATGGTGGTAATTCTGTAACTCCATAATTCTGTAACTCCTCCACTAAATGTCCATCTTATAAAGAAAACAGTATGAAATGGCATCGATGAAATTCTCCTTGACTCGTGGACTGTGTTTTAATTTTTCTTTATTTTTGCATGCGTAGGTGCAGCCATGCAAGAAGGCGTCCGTTTTGCTTCCTCGGGAGAGGACGTGAAGATATGGGATTCCTCGTCTGTGACTGTGGTAGAGCAGTTCAACCCGCACACGCCTGCCCATGCAGTGAGCTCGCTGTGTTGGGCCAGCAACAGTATCCTTTATTGCTTTAGTCATAGTTCTGGGATTTCAAAACTGCAGTGATTTTTTTGTTAAATATTATTATTAAATTATCTCTAACTGACAGGCTTTCTCTAGTCTTGAAAAGTCTTGCATAAAGATCCTTACATGCTGAGAAGATTTTTTCTTGTGGTTGCCTGTGTTTAAAAGCCTTATGAAATAAACTCATGCTGGTTAGTGCTTCAGTAGATGTTGGCCTTCCGTTAGGAGGCTAGCACATTTTTAATGGTGGTGATATGCTTGAATTGCCTGTCAGCAGCAAACTTACTCATTTGTTTCTTTAGTGGTTGATTACAGTATCCGTGTTCAAGCAGTGCTTAACTTACTGATAAGGTTCAACAAAGCAGTTGCTGATGTAGCAAGATGCTGCGTAGAGTGTAAAGAGGAAAACTGTGAGGAACTTTGTTTTTTAAACAGTTTCTCACTGATTCTGTTAGTAGAAATGGCCTCTTCCTGACAGAATGCACTTAAGTATCTTATTGTCTGAGCACTGGTTTTATGAGCACTGTTTGTAGCATTTACAGAAGCAGCACAAATGTTATCTTATCCATCCATCCACAGCATTGCCTTATCTGGTCCATGTAGACCTTTCACCTGTGTCTTGGAAGCCTGTTATAGGATAATGATACGTGATGCCAAGTAGGATATGAACATATGAGAAATTGCATGGAAATGGAGCAGTGTCAGGTGAACAGATATATGGCTGTTGTGGGGGAAAAAGCAAAAGTGCCTGTTCTTGATGTAAAAGAAAGGCAGAACGCTGACAAAGGAAAATGTATGTCCTCCAAGTTCTGAATGCATCAGTCCTCTAAGTCTGCAAGGGAGTATGTGAGAAGGCAAAAGTTACCATAGTCAGAGCATAAATTAATGTTTTGGAACATACTAGAAAGCATCTATTTAGTATATGCCGTTTAGTAAACTTGAGCTATAGACAACTTTAGTAAGCTTGAGCTATTGTCACTCCCTGTCTGTTTATCACTCCCAGAAATTCAAATGACTGTGTTACTCTGTGTTTTACTAATTCATTATAGTAAAGCATTGATTCTGGTTTTAGTGTTGGTTGTTCATAATTTTGTAAGCTAAAATGTTGTCTTAAAATGATGGAAGAAATAGCAAGCACTAATATGTCTGCTAGTTCTGGTAGTGGTAAATCCAACAGTTACCCTTTATTCTTAAGTAAACCAGTATAAAATCATTATGGGCGTTGGCCTAAAGATTTAGGGGAACTAAAGATGTAAGTGATTGCTCAATGAATCCAATATAGGGGACAGTGGTAGTTCCCTAGCTGCTTGAGGAAAGCAGAGAATTTTGTTTCTAGTTACCTGTAGATCAGCATCCAGCCAAATTTTCTGTGAGGTACCACATCATACTGTGTGTCTCTTTCAAAACTTAAGCCAGTCTTTCTGGCAAACCTTTCTCTATTGCAGGCCTTTTTCCTTCTTTGTCTGATCTATTTGGTGTCATAGAGGCTTTTTTTTTGCCCTCAATACAGAGGGAAACAAATCAGCAAACATATCCATTATACTCTGGAAACTATGTGCTGAACTGATACAATGTTATGGACAGGACTTTTATTTAAATTCATAGTCTTGTAAAAGCAACAGACATTCCTTGGAGCTCCAGTGCTAAATGGAGCTCATTCTTTGCGGTGTGGTGGTTGGATAGCGGGGAAAAGTGCAGCCTGAGTAACCTGCCTAGCAGAAGAGAGATCTTAAATATTGCCTACCAGATATTTTCTCTCTTCTCTGAAAGAACTCGCACTGCCTCCTGTTGGGAAGGAAGGGCTGAAGTTGCCTTGTGGAGGGAGCGGGGACAAACTGTCTTTAAGATCTTCTTAATGAAGGGCTGTTTAAAGCAGCCTGTTTTTAAACAGCCTTACATTTCTATTTTTCCCCTCAAATAGCAAATGCAAAATATTTCTAAAGCATGTAGATCTCTTCAAGGTACAAGACTCAAGACTCTTTAACCATTCTCTTCTCTTTTAACAAGGAAGACTTGCTGTTGCTTTTGCTACACAGCAGTGTTGCACAGTTGTGGTCCCTAACTTGTGACTAAGATAGCTTCCTGGTTACTGCCTCTGCCGTTGGTGATAAGATAGTTGTTTCAAGCTGTAAAAGTAAACCTATTCCGCTTTTTGAAGTAGCCGAAGGGGTAAGTATTCTTACTGCTGTTCCCTTTTTATCCATCCCGCCCTGTGTACTGCTTGCATCTCATCTGTTCTGCATGCCACGTTAATTTTAGTATTGTTACGACACATGCTCAGAACCTGGAAGTGTTTACAAGTATATAGGTGAAATGGCTAAGAGGAGAGAGTGGGGAATAGTGCTTCTAAAATGGTCGTGCTAGTGAAAAGCAAGTTGCAGTTATCCAGCCCCTGGTGCTCATGGCTTTCCAATAAGGTGAGCCCTTAAGTGATGGGGTAGCTGGTGGTTCAGGCTTGATCTAATCTGTGTAATCACAGCTGAAGTTTTACCTGGATTTTCAAACTTAAATTGTCAAAAATGTGCATGCCTACAGATTGTGCATATTTCTAAAATACAGGAGCCTGCATAATGATGATTCCTAGACCATGCAGGTGCTGGCTTCTGCAAATACTTGGTGTAGCAGAATCTTTTCTTGGGAGGAAGCATGGCACTACTTGGCTTGGGTTTAGAAGAGTGTCTCAACATGGTTGCTTGAATGACTTGTTGGATACTATGAATTATGCTGATTATTCTTCTTAGGTAATTATTGTAAAGGTAATTTGGAATGGGAATAGTCTGAAAATTTGTTAAAACTGGGCTTTTGGATTCCTGAAGCAAACACTTTCAAAGGTGTAGTGTTTGCCATAGAGATTTCTTTCAACCTCGTGTAAACCTAATGCAATTGCTTCCAGTTTTGCCGTGTGAATAATTAGGTGGACTTGTTTTTTTCTTATTTCAAGTCTCAAGAAGTTAAAAGTGAATTTTCGATGTGATAGAACTGAATAATTTGTCCTCTGTATAGCTCTATCATTAAGATTGACATTTTTTTTTCCAAAGTTGGCACTTCAGTGATCACTTTAAAAAGAAGCACTTTGGTGAATTACGAAGCTTGCTGCTATAATATTCTTTGTAATGTTTAGGAAATGTGAAGAACATGACCTAGACAACTCTTTAATATTCTTTTAAGGATTTTTTTTTCCTTAAACCTAAGGTTTTCTGTTTAAAGCTCTATAACTCAACAGAAATAGACGATTGCAGTTTAGAGAACTGTAATTTGAAGTGAAAATGCATATTGAAGAAAACAGAACTAAGAGAATTCGAAATAGGGATGGGAAAATGTGAGAAGAGCATTTGAGAGTTTATTACTTTGTATGTTTAAATCTCTGTGTATCCAGACTGGTCTGGGTTTTTAATTGCTTGCTGAAGGGAAGTAACTGTAGTGTGCCAATAGTTTTGTCAGTCACCTTAATAAAGGTGAAAATATATGTCAATACACTTCTAAGTAGACTTGAGTAAATTTCTTAATTCTCTTTAACATATTGTCTGGTTTTTGTTTTTTATCAGGCGAAACAGACGTGTGTGGCTTTAAGTTCCAGCTGTTTATACATTGCGAGTGGAGGCCTCGATAACTCTGTTAATATCTGGGATCTGAAGTCCAGGAGACTCCACCGTAGTCTCAAGGTAATGCTTTGAGTTTGCTGCTGGGCTGCAGGAAAACCTGTGGCCTTTGCAGCTTCAGGATTTTCCTGCCAGTGTGAAAATGCCATTTGTCTGGATCACGGATCCGTAAGCTCAAGTTCTCAGACAGGAGCGAGCACACATATATATCTTGTTTAACTTTGGGCTCTTTAGGTGCTATAAATAGCAATCTGATTTTAGCGACTGTGCTCGCTGTCTAGACTTGGCATCTCAGGATATAAGGCTATCATATCTTTAAATCTTCAGAATAGACTTTTAGTTTGAGAATTTGAACTGATGTTTTCTGACAGGACTTTTTCAATTCAGATAACTAAACCAGGCAAATGCCTTTCTATGTGTAGGATACTCTGGTGCTCTTGAAAAGAACTGAACTCCTGGTATTCAGAATTGCTTAAGCAAGAACATAAGTGGAAAAATAGGGCTTAGTCATCTTTTTCCTAACTGATACAGTGAATTCTCTAAAATTTTGCCATGATGCACAAAAGTGATGTCAGTCTAGTTTATTTTCTATGATATCATGAATTGATTACTTCATTCATTTAGGATCACAAAGATGCTTCTGAATTTTGGCTGTATTTTTTTTCTTAGGTTGTTAGAGTTTTAAATAAAATTACTAAGTAATCTGTAAAATTACTAAGTAATCATTTAAATATCTTTTTTTACCCTTGTAAAAGGGAGTCTGGAAGTGCTTGATTGTGTTTACCAAATGTATGGAGGAAGATATAATCATTTGCAGCGAAGATACTGTAAAGCTATTTGGTAGATATGTGCATTACAGGGGAAAGGGGATATATGCAGGGGAAAATGCCAGTAGGGTATCAGATCCATAGGTCTGATCCTAAAAGCATCATGAAATCAGTGTTGGTTTTGGAAAGGCCTTACTTTTAAAGTAACAATGATAGATGTGGTAGAGATCCCTGTGATTGTCTTATTAAAACACTGCATCTAATGAAAGCATCATTGGTAATTTATTAAAACAACCTTCTGAAAATAATCAAGGAGACATTGGTTAAAATATAAAGGCTCATCTCCTGTATATTTTGTTATTCTCTAAGGTAATCCAGAATAATCTTAAAGTAATCTTTAGAGATAAGTCTGGAAGAAACATCAAACTGAAGTTTTCCCACAAAAAAAAAGTGTTAGGAAGGAAGACAGTTTTCCTGAAGTTCTCTAACCTTCTTTCCCCTCTCTACCTTATAGGATCACAAAGATGAAGTCACGTGTGTTGCATATAATTGGAATGATTGCTACATTGCTTCTGGATCTTTGAGTGGTGAAATCATTTTACACAGTGTTACAACCAATTTATCAAGTACTCCCTTTGGTTTTGGCAGCCGTCAGGTGGGTTGTATGTATTGAGTTACTATCAGATTTTTGATAGTAGTTTCCCCCCAAAATGAATGTTTGAAATTGAGTATGTTTTGAGAGCTCTTCTCCTTTTGAAATAGCCCTCACTACACTCGTCTTTTCAGGTTTTATCTCTGTGTGTCTTTTTTTTTTTTTTTTCAAGTGCCCTTGTGTGGTTGAGAAAGCAGCCTTTCAAGTGTGTTGTAATCTTAAATAACTAACATAACTTCTCAGGTACATGTACCTGTTTATATACAGTGAACAGCCAGTTTTAGCTGATGTAGGCTCTAGGCTCTGCTGCCGTAAGAACCAACTTCTACACATCTTAGAAAAGAACAGAAAATAGTCAGCCTTGCAAGCCTAAACAGAATGTCAGTGCTCTGCTGTGTGCCTGTTGTCATGAAGAGCGAAGTGCATGTGGATAGCCTAGGTTCTGACCTATCCAGAGAAATCAGATTTACAAGTGAACAGAATCATCTGTAGAGTAGGGAAGAATATAAACCTGTATTCAACACAAGCTAAATGTAATTAATCAGAGGTTTACAGTTGTACAGTTGTTCAAGAGTAGAACCTTTTTGATTTTAGGTTACCCACTTAGGTGAACAACTGTAGTTTGAAGGAAAACTGTGCTGGGGGAAAAAAGGCCACGTGCACTGCTCAAGGGCCCTTGGTGGTGGTGTTCACTGCAGTCCTTTTCTTACTGAACCACAGATACTGCAGAAATGGTGGGACCATTAGGGGAATTGCCTTGATAGAAGGACTTCTGTAGTAGCAAATCAGCTGTGTTGGCCCTTTGAAAGATGCAGTGTGAATTCTCAGTGTGAGTGTGGTCTTAGGCACAGGCAAGTGTTTGTGCTCTGGGCATTTTTATTTCTTTTTTAGGTCATTTTTAGAGAGGCAGAAGCTGCCTGAGGGATGTCAGTTGTTGCTTTTGTCCTAAGCCTGACCTTTTAGACTTGCAGGGAGTACTGAACTTACGGTTTGGTAGTATTCTGTTACTGGGAGTGCGCTTTCATTGCAACATCTTGGATGGAATAGCAAGTTACTGTTTGTTTTTCTGTCTGTCGTTGAACACTACAGGCTGATGAAGAATATTTAAAGCATCACAGGCATTGTGATATACTTTGTATTGAATAATCTTTATTACAGTCAGTGTATCTCTGCTTTGGGGTGCTGCAGTGTCCTTGGTGAGTTACTGTAGATTCATACTGAAGCGAAACTGTACTTCATACCTAGCTTGATCTTAAAGATCTCTGTATGTAGTCACTTCATTTTTCTGATTTGATTATTATGAACTCTTGAAAAATGTGGGTATAAGACAAAGGCTGCAGGGAAACTCACAGATGGATTATACAGCTAAGGTGAGTTTTCAGTGTGGGAATTATGCTGCTGGTTAATGGGACATTTTAAATTTCTTTGGAGAAAGATTCATCATCCTGTTTAATATATTCAACTCTTTCTACCAAAAAGTGGGTAGGAATAAGTGATGCTGTGAATAGCTATTTTGGCAGATGAAATCAAGAGGTTTGCTATAAAGTTAAGTGATCTTTAAGATGACTAAAGATATTTGAAGTGTTAAATCACAGTAATTCCAGGTTCAGAGATATTTTTCACTTCCTAGGGTCTATAGCAATTTCTAAAGGGGAGAAGTTACTCGATTATACCCTTAAATTTAAATGGCATTGAGCTGTAATTGTGTAATGTCAGGGCTACTTGAAAATGCTAGTTTATGAGCCTATCTTGTGTTCTGAGTGGTATTTTTACTCTTATACGTGCAAGTCGCTGTGTGTTTAATTTTCTGGGGAGAACTTTTATGGAATTGCAGAATCAATTGTGCAGTGAGGTAAATAACTGAAGACTTGGATACTTCTGTTTAAAAATGTAGCGGGGAGGAGGGCGTTTGTGTTCAAAAAATTTATAGCTTAGGGGATCAGTTTTATAAAACTAAATTTGAATAATTGAGCAGGGTATTTGTGTTGCTTATTCCTTGAGTCTGGCTTAATAACAGTCACAACTCCATATTAACTTTTTTTTTTCCCCCCCTCAATTGGGGAATGTCAGGTCAGAGTAACCTGATAGATAAAAGCTAGCTTGTCTCTGCTTGGTTCGGCATAAAGGAATGCAGTTTCCTTGCCAGTTAATTTCTGTCATCCTATAGGCTCTACAAGAAGTAGAATGGCTCAAGATTGTGGTACTTCCAAAGGCTTTAAAGGCCTTTCTTTTCATAGAATCCAATTCAGAGTATTGACCTGTAGTCTGTTAATTGATTTTGATTTGGAAATGTCCGTGTGCTTTATCAGAGTAAGTTCATGTACAGATTTGTTTGTCAATCCCATAGTTTCTTTGCTGCTGGTATTCATTAAGACTACTAGATTCTTATCTGCTTTCTCTTGTGAGGGTGAATTAAAGTTTGTTTTGAAACACAAGGTTTGTCCAAGTCTTCACTATGTGGTGCTATTCTCCTAGCAACAGAATTTGGTTGAGTTTGAACAGCTGGTTGATTTGTAAAGATGTGCGATGGCTTCTGCTCACTCCTTACAGGGAAATAGTCTGGAGCTTTTAAAGCTATCAACTGTGCTTACATCTACCCCCTCACCTCCAAGGCTTACTAAGGTATAAAAGAGCTTAAGCAGCTCTATAGTATCTCAGAATAAGATAATCTATGATGCTAGACTTTTGTTTGATTTAGTTTTAGGCTTTTGTTTTCCAACATTGAAAAGCCCTGAGTACAACCAGTCCTTTTCAGTAGTGAACCAACTGTTTTCTATATTTCTCTTAATTTCCTGTTTTAACAGGAAGCTTAAAGGTAAAATGTACTTCATTGTTTGCAGAAACTCTGCTGCAGTCACAGCTAAGGCAAAAAGATGTGTATGGTTTCTTGTGCTACACTGACCAGGAAAGTATTTGAAAGAGAGCTTCATTTCCCTCTTCTGCAAGTTCAGCACCTTGTGCTAAACATGTTTCTGGAAGTTCTGTCTGTGCGGAATTCCAAGAAGTCATCAGGAGTTGCACTTACTGAAATGTGGCAAACTTGCTTCACAGGAATTTCTCTTTTGCAGTTTTGAAAAGTTAGTTCTAAGACATGGCAGTCTTCCATTACTTTTGAATCCTCAGCTGAGGATACTGCTTCTTTGTGGAGCAATGAGACTTGCAGAGTGGCAAGTAATACAAGTGCTAGAAATGAGGTTGGAGGCTTTTGAGGCACAAATAGCTCCAGTAAAATGAAGGGGAACATGCCGTAAAATCCAATACAGTATGTTGTGATGTGTGTCGTACCAAAATAATACAGTAGCTTTTTCTAGACAAATAAAATGTGATAGCTTTTATTCTAATCCAGACAATTACTACTTTCAGTTCAGTGCCACTCGAGAAAAATTTTAGAGGGGATGGAGGTTGGAAAAGGAAATGAGGCTGAAAGACAGTAGGTAGCATTGAAAGGACAGTGGCTGTTTGGGTTAGCAGCAGCTAATCTTGTTTGATATTTTCAGTAATGATTATTTCAGAAGGAGGGGTGTGATGACACAAAGTTCAAAGATGCCCATAAGAAGAGGATTATCTAAAATCCAATCCAATATTCAAAAAGAATTAAAGAAACGGGCATGAGGCAACTATGACACTACAGAAGTCAAGGTCCCAGACTGGCAGTCACAGCTGAGGCTTTTGGTATTAGACCTAAGAACTGAAAATTCACAATGGAAGGAAAAGAGAGACTTGGGGTTTATAAAAAGGCAGATAAAACCAGGAAAACTTGAACTACACAAGAAAATGCTATCTCAAATATTTTAGAAAAAATATTTACAGCAGAAAAGGAAGTGTTATTGCCATTGCAAAGGCAATAGTAAAATGTTTTGAGTATCATGTGAGATCTGGATTGGCTGTGTTCAAGAACAGTTCGTATTCAGAGAGCTGCAAAGAGGCTGTGGTGGCAATCAACCCGCCTTAGACTGAGTCTGTCATCTTACCTTTTCCACAAATGTGTGTGCTTGAGGTGGGAGCGTTGTTTGCTTGTTTTTAATCAGACCCCTTACTTTTGGGTGTCGTATACACTGCTGGGCAAGCTGCTCAAAATAACACCTGTCCCCCAGCAGCAGAAATGGGACTGTAATGTGAATGGAACATTCTGTAGAGTGGCTGACCTTGGACTAGTGTGATTTACTGTAAAATCTTTATTCCTAATGCGTGGTAACTTCAAAATTCCTAATGTATTCCTATATTTTTGTTATCTATAATAATATTTACTACTACTGATGGAGTTCATTATTTATGTCCATTTTACAGCCTATTCGACACCTGAAATACTCCTCCTTTAAGAAATCTCTGCTGGGCAGTGTTTCCGACAGTGGAGCTGTAACTTTGTGGGATGTGAATAGTCAGAACCCATATCATAATTTTGAAAATACTCATAAAGCACCAGCTTCAGAAATCTGCTTTTCTCCAGTCAACGAATTGCTGCTTGTCACTGTAGGTTTGGATAAAAGAATTATTCTCTATGACACATCAAGTAAAAAGTGAGTATATCGAAGACCTTTGAATTTCTAAGATGATTATTGACTTTTTATTAATTGAAAAAAATGTGTTCAACTGTGACATTAAACATTGGATAAGAAAGCAGGAAGCAGTGGTTGTGTAGGTGATGGGGCTGCACAGTAAAAGGGAAGGATGGCAAGGGCAGGGTGTCGTGGGACCTTGGTTCTCTTGTGGGTCGTCCTTTTGCTCTAGCTGAATGAACGCAAGAGTTCATCTGTAGTTTGGAGGGGTTTAGCAGGGGGATGCAAACTAGGGTCTGAGTTCATCTCAGAGCTGGTGTGATGACACCTGTAAGTAAAGTAGGTATCAGAAGTGCTAGGGAGGTGACTTGATCCCGCTCCAGTGAATATTTTGGGACCTATGCCACCTCGACGTTTGCTAAACAAAACACAGCCAACCTAATGTACTGCTCCTTAAGATATTCCACTGAATTTACTTGGCCCCGAAGAAGCTGAGCTACCAAATAGTAGCTACATTATGAAAGCTCATCTTTTAGGTATTTCGTTTTGAAAAGTCTGATCTTAAAATTACTCTCTTGGTAATGAATTCTAATGCCTCTTTATCCTATCTTTTTTTCTTATACAAAGATTATTGACAACAATAGTAGCTGAATTTCCTCTGACAACGGTAGATTTCATGCCTGATGGTACTACTTTGGCTATAGGATGTTCCCGGGGAAAAATCTACCAATATGACTTAAGAAAACTGACATCACCAGTAAAAACAGTTAATGCTCACAAAGGCTGTGTGAAATGCATACGTCTTCAGTACAGTAGCACTTCCTCCAAGGTAAAAATAAATAATTAAAGCTTTCTATTTTACTTTTAGTATGTAGATTAATAAAAGCAAAACAAATTTAAGGTCTGAAAAACACTAATACTCAGTTTCTGAGAATCATAGTCGCCAACTAAGATAATACATACCGATAGAGAAAGAAAAACTATTCCATCCTAAGTGTCATTTTAACTTTTTTTTTTCTTTTTTTAATGCAAAGCTTTCATAAGATTTCCTTTTTCATAGTTGTGGTGTACAGATGAGAGCGACTTATAAAGTAGTCATAAACTTTTGTGTGAATAAGTTTCCATTGCAGATCAATTAGTGGCACCCAAGATTCATTTGTCAGCAGTAGCAGAATCACTCCTACTGCCCCTTTCACAAAAAGGGAAGACCCACAGCTGCTTTTCTTGGGTACAGGTATATGTAAAACTTGGAGAAATTGATTAAAGAAAAGTTGAATTGAATCAATTTTCTTAAATCTGGCAAACCTGATGAGGTTTTTCCAAGAATAAGTGGGCTCTGCTTGAACCAAAAGCCTCACGTGCTTATTCCTTGGAGAAAGAACTTTCCAAATGGAATCATTAGCCCTCTGTGGCTTTTAAAAATGTACTCTTCTGTTATTCCTAAGACTAAGCCTAAGATGAAAATTGACTAGATCCAGTTCACTCCATTGTTACTTTAGGGTCTGTGGAGGTCCTCCTGCAGGTCCATAGGATATTCACATAATAATACGGAAGTCTCTCACATGAAAATATGTCCTTTTATGTTTCTAAAAAGAAATTGGGACATATGTCAGGCAAATTTTACAACTTGAACTGAAGTCTTTTAGTGTTTTGAACCCAAAGTCTATTAGTGTGTATTTCTACTTTTAGCTGAATGAATAATCTTGATTCTTTCTTCTTTTTCTTCAGTCTAACCTTAAGGGTTCTTCAAATAAACCTTTATCCAAAAGAGCAGAAGTCAAATCTGGTAGTAATCTCGGAGGAATTCAAAATATTGGCATAAAAAATGCAACTTCTCATACATCAGCAGCAGTTTCACCTCATCTTGCTCTGCCAAATGAGAATAAAGGAGGAGATGTTTTTCTGGACAAAACAGGTAGCATCTTCTTCCTATTCTTAAAAACCTTTGATGCAGAGTAGAAGATAGAAGGCATATTTTGTGCCCTGACTATCACCGTATAAAAATGAATCAAGGGATGGACATTTGTTGCAAAAGTGTGCTTGAATGCATGTGCATTTATACCTTCTTCTGCCTTTCCTACTTATTTCCTTCCTCATAAAACAAGGAGAATGTGGGACGGGAATTGGGTCCTACCTGTCAGTGTTTAGAAGTTCTTGCTTCAAGTCCAGAATTTTAGATATATATTTGAGCTTTAAAGGAGAAAACTATGGTGCATGGGGATATCCCTTGTATTTTGACGTATAGATTATCCTTAGATACAGAATATGATTTCTGACACAATGTCGTTACAGAATAGAGAGCTAATGGTTTGTGGTTTTATCAATAAACAGGAATAATGGACTCCTTGTATGAAAAAAAAGAGATTTTATTACTTGTATCTGAGATTTTTTCAAAATACAGGAACTTAACTGTATTGTTGTATGAGACATGGCAGGAAAGATGTTAAATAGTGTTTACAAGTTGGGTTAGTTGTGTAACTCTCCTCGCTGCCTATATTTCTGAAGTTAACAAGCTCTTTACAAACTGTCATTATTCTTAAATTCTTAACTAAAGTTTTAGGAGGAGATTTTACAATTTAAGTCAAGAATTCTGAAAATATTGTCAAATCAATCACGCTGTGTGTTAGTTTTGGATAACCTTTCAAGTCATTTGAATTCAACAGCACTTTTTCCTCCCTCCTTAAGTAAGGAGAAATGCATTTAGCAGCACTAATTAGGCAATAAGCCATTGCAGTCCATAGGGACACAGATTAATGACCTCCCTTGGGTATGCGGTGAAGCACAAGGTGAAGCTGAATGCTTTCTATGTACTGAAAAAGTATTGCTAATCAACATTACTGCATGGTGTGGAAATCTTATTTCAGTATAAAATATGCTTTGTTATCAGTGTTTGAAAATGCAATGACTGTTTATCTGTTAAACAGGTCAGTTCATAATAACTAAATGGTTTTAGAAAATAATGTTCTATTAAATAGTAGGTTCTCAATAAGCTGAATGTTGTTGACTTTAGAAAGTAAGCACCCCCATGTACTTAAGAAGATGCAATCTTTAAACTTACAAATGGGAGGGGAGAAGACACACCATGAACTGCATTTGTTCTCTGGAAGCTACCATACATCCTAAAGGTGGATTTTAGCTTTGGAAAAATGTGGGGCATTCAGTAGTCTCATAGCTTATGTAAAAAACAAAACCAAAAAGGCCCATTTACACAGCTGGGAACTGGAGCTTTTGGTGGCAGATACATTATTAGCATGCCAAAATATTAGTGAATTGTGAATGTGAGGAGATGTACGGGCTTCCCATGAACATGTATTTGATAGCCATCTACCAGTTTAGGTCTGACATTTAGATTAGTGGAAGCTGGGGAAAACAATACATAAAAGATTTTACCCAGTTTTATGCTTTCTCCTTGTCCATCTTCCATAGCTTGTGGTGTAAGTTGATCATGCACTTCTAGTTTGACTCAATGTACCAAGTATTTACTGAATTAGCAAGTGAAATCTTAGACATGTGTCACGTGCCACATCAGAAGGAGTAGAAAACATGATACATCAATACATTTAAAATTGAAATCTTAAACCTGACTCACGTCCCAGGTGAAGGCATGGTGAATTCTAGTAATCCACAGTTACATTTAGCTCATGTGAATGAGTGCTCTCACTCAGAGAGGAAGCAATAGACTCTGTTAACAGTACTTTGTGGGGAGTTGTCTGTTCTGTCAATAAGGTGGATATCAATGCAGCTTTTGTACGTGTGGGCAACACCTTTTTAGCTGTGGAGTAGTTCTACTGCTCTTCACATATATGTTTTACAAGCAAAATGCAGGCACTTCCAGAGTAAGGAATTCAGTTATTTAGGTGTTTAACAGTTCAATTCTCAATGTGTCAATCTGAAACTGTAATTTGAATAATTATGTTGATTTGGTTGTTTTTTTTTGGTTTTGTTTTGACTGAAGAAATGCTTCTGTTCTGCAGACAACTGTCCAAGCTGCTGTGTATCCAAAAACTGAAAGTTTTTATTTTGGGGGAGGTCTGGAAACAAATTTTGCTTGTCTGTAACTGTAACTCCACCCTAATTTCCCAATATTGGAAATAAGCAAAGGTATCCTAGCATTGAGCGAGCCCAAAACAAATGTTTCTTGGAATTTTTCTTAGAATCTTTAATGGCCAGCCTGAAGCAGACTTGTCTTCTTGTGTAATAAATTTAAATGCTGACACCTGGCTGTGGTCACCTTCCAAGGGGAGGAGGTGTGTTCACTAGTCATTATTTCACCCGGTGCATCCTAAGTGTGCTGTAGATATCATGCATTTATCTAAAAATGAGTGCATTCTCTTAACTCTTATTTTTAAAAAGAGGAAAACGGTCCAATTATATCTTACTCTTGATCCCTAGTTATATTCCCCTGAGATGAGAGCTCATAGGAGGAAGTTAAAGATGATCCTCTAGAACCTTGATAAGTTTATAAGCTGCTGTGGGGCATCACGCTGCTCGTGAGATTATTTAGGGATAAAATACACTATTTTTGTACATTCTGGAAAATGTCAATGAATTCTCTTGTCCTTTTAAGGCTTTCCTCGCAGCAGTAGCTTGGATGTGATTCCATCTAAAGAAACAGATCATGGGAGAAGTACTGACTCGAGTAATCTTGATGATTTGAGTCGCAATAGTTTAGGAGATATATTTTCTCCAGTCAGAGATGGTAAGTTGCTAATACTGACATTTGTAAAGAATCATTCGTCTGCCTAGCGTTACGTTTTTGGCATTTGTGTTAAGGATTGCTGTACCTACTTGGCATTTTAATTCATCTTTGAATGATGATAGATGCAGTGATGTGAATATTGATGTAGATTTCATCTAATAAACACTTTTAAACTTGTGGTATTTTGTAGATATTATTTCAAGTAAAGCAAATGAAGATCCTCCAGGAAAAGGAGATGGTAAGCACACTTTCCCTGTAATTTTCTTTGTGGTATTGGAGGCTTTCATTATTTCTTACATGCTGACTTTGTCATCCTGAAGCAGACAAGCAGTGGAAGCATGCGGTGAGACAAACTAACTTTCATGTACCTTGTCCAATGCATGGAAGAGTTCAAGCGCAACATGTGGTAATAGGAAATTAAAGGTCATGATTTTGTTTTTCCTTAATTTTGTAGTGATGTATAGAGACTCTTTCATGCTTTTCTTCTATAAAAACAGCTGCAGCATAAGTTGGATATGAAGCTTTTGGCAGGGTTTGTTCATTTTGTTTTTTGATTGTTTCGGTTTTGTTTGTTTCTTGTTTTTCTTACCTTGTCTCTCACCCTTCCCTTCTCATTTTAGGTCTTGATTTTCAGTCCTACCTTTCGGGTTTGGATTTTCTCCCACAGCTCCCCACTGCCTTCCCAGTAAAAAGAAACCCAGTTGTCAGTAGTGCACAAGGGATACGGTCTAGCCCGTTACATGTATTTGTGGCCTCTCCGATTAAAGAAGAGGAAGAACATACAAATCCAGAGGCCGACACTAAGAAAATAAATCTTGGAAAACAAGAATCTGCAGAAGCTGTAAAGCAGGTATGCTCTACTAACTCTTGTTAGGTTTAGTCTTTTTAGAATCTGACTACTTTAGAAGACTTGAAAGAAAAACCCTTAATAGTGTCCCAGCTAGTTTCATTTTCAAACTCTCTTCACAGTTTTGGGAAAAGTTGGTAGAAGTGTTTGTCAGCTTACATATGTTGTCCCTCAGTAATGCACGCTTATATATCATAAAACTTTGTGTGAAACAAAACTGAGCTAGCTTGCGGATTGCTTTTTCTACAAAATTCAGAACGATCATTTGCTGGTTCCACAAATAGTCTCTTCTGTCCTTTCTAGATCACTCTCCCTTCTTCTGTCCCCTTTCTCACCTGTTTCCCACAAAGTTTTTTCTTTCTTCTTGAAACACCTCTGAAAGGCTTTTGTAGAGACCCATGCTCCATTTTCCTTGTTTGAGATGTGTGTGTAACTTACAGCACAAAATTTTTGATGTGAAAGTTAAGACATTCTGGCCTTTTCATGATTGTGTGTTTGTCTAAGGTGATCAATTCTTAAGAGATCTTGCTTTTTGAAATAAATGTGTGTCTTAGTATACATTTAAATATAAATGTATATGTATATTTTTTGATTGTCAGCTTCCAAAACTGAGCTCTTCAAGTGCAGAATCCGGAACTTTGAGTCCTCCGCTATCCTCCACTGCTATAAAGACTCCTGACACAAATGAGAAATTAGTAAAGAATATTCAGGCCAGTCTTGCGTATGATCTGCCACTAAATGGCACTACCTCAGCAAGTAAGTAAATCAGTTTTGCCCAGTTTTATAACTGATTGATTGTGAATTGATAGAAAAACCTAATAAAATTATTGTAGCAGTGAATCAGAATATCCAATCTTGATTTTTCTGTAAATCCAATTAGGCCCCTAGGACATCTCTAATTCCTTCATCCCTTTTCCTCTGGAGGAAAAGAGGGAAGAAAAAAAAAGCCATTATAAATCTAATCCTTTTTAATGTTGTTGTTTTGTTTTTCCATAGCTAATAGGAGGAATTGACAAGCCCCAAAACGCACAAAACATTCTTTGTAGTCCAAGTGTGCTGATTTTGTGGGGTTTTTTTTTGTTTGTTTTCTTTTTGTCATAAAGGTCCAAAGATAACATCGCCTGTCACAGTTGGAGTTGCCAGTTCACTGTCAGAAAAAATAGTAGAAACCATTGGGAGCAACAGACCAAATGCACCTTTGACATCAATACAAATAAACTTCATTCAGAACATGATACAAGAGACGCTGGATGACTTCAGGTAGTTTTATCCTTTCAGGGCACTTTGTTTCCATTTTTTTTTTTTTTTGCTTTTTAAGATGTTTATCATTAAGCGTATTTCCTACTAGCATCAAGAAATGTCATTGATAGCCTTAGTCTTGGAGCAATAAGTAGGAAATTTTATTCATTTTGAGTAACGATGCCTCATTAGATTGATGTTCCTAAGGGTTATTTATGTGCATGGCTTTGGAACGTATTTTTAAGATGAGTGTTTGAGTACTCCTCAGATGGTAAACTTATCTGCATAATGAGGTCCTTATTACTTCCTGAAGCCTTGTACTGATTTCTCTCCCACCTTCCTCAGTCTGTAGTGGACATTTCTTCTTTTAAAGTTGACAGTGGAGAGTTTGATCTAGACATTGCAGTGGTTTTGAGTTGTGTTAGCTTTGTGTGTGCAACATGAAATACTGGGCATTTTTTTATTAGCAAAGCTTTACATAAAACAATGTCTATGCTATAATACTTGTATTTGCAGCCATCTAGCAAAAAAATCCACTTGCTTCTTAAAGGAAGCCAAATGAGCATAAATTGGGGATTTAGCAAGGAACAGTTTCATTTAAAATCTTTTTTTCCATCTTCTGTAGTGAGTATCAAGGACTTCATACCTAGGATTAAAAAAAAAAATGCCTGATATTTTCTTGTTTTTTCCCTTTGAAGATTTTTCCCTTTGTTTGCAGCTTTCAGCATGCACTAAGGTTGCACTTTTATAGAATCATAGAATCCTTAAGGCTGGAAGGGAGATCATCTCTCCTCTAGAGATCATCTAGTCCAACCCCTCTGCACATGCAGGGTCACCTAGAGCATGTGGCATAGGGTAGTGTCTTAAGTGGGTTTGGAAGATCTCCAGAGAAGGAGACTCCACAACCTCTCTGGGCAGCCTGTTCCAGGGCTCTGTCACTCTCACTGTTAGGAAATTTTTCCTTAAGTTCCTGTGGAACTTCTGTTTCAGTTTGTGGCCGTTTCCTCTTGTCCTGTTGGTAGCCACCACTGAAAAGAGGCTGGCGCCATCCTCCTCCCTCCCTCCCTTAACGCATTTATAGACACTGATCAGATCTCTTCTTGGCCTTCTCCAGGCCGAACAGGCCCAACTCTCAGCCCTTCCTCACAGGGCAGATGCTCCAGGCCCCAACATGCAGCACAGCATTCTTAATGCAGCCCAGGATCCCATTGGCCTTCTAGGCCACAAGAGCACACTGCTGCCTCATGGTCAACTTGTCGTCCACCATGACACCCAGGTCCCTCTCTGCAGAGCTGCCCTCCAGAAGGTCAGTCCCCAGCCTGTCCTGGTGTCTGGGGTTATTCCTCCCCAGGTGCAGGACCTTGCACTTGCCTCTGATGTCCTGAAAATTGTTTATTTTGTTGTCAGTTCTTCCTTTAGCTTTTTAATCCCTTGGAGAACTTCGACCAAATTTGTAAGGACCAGAGGTTTGAAAATTAAAAAAATCCTCCATTTTGCTTGAAACCGAGGACTAGATAGTAGAGAAGGAATCAAATTAGTGTGCTTGCTGCAGGGGAAGAGACTGTACAGTAGCAGAGGCTGCCAGGCTAATTGGTCCCCCCATAACTCAGAATTAGTGCAGTATGTCACTTTCCTGAGGAGGAGAGTATCATGTGGGATGTAATGTGGATTAGTCACCATATCCTTAAGGAATGAGAGTTCATTAATTCCTCTGTCACAGAACAGCTTCCTGTGTTAATAGTTCCTCAGATTTGGCGCTGAGTGCTCGCTCCAGCTGGGTGGACTGCATCAGCCCTGTATAAAGGGGGCTCTAACGAAGCGTTGCTCGACGCCTTCCTTTCTGTGGGCAGCGTGGGATGCTACACAAAACGCCGCCTTCTGTAGGGTTCCTGCCTCAACAGATGTTTGATCATCTTCTGTTATAAGTGTGCACTGACTTGTTGCTTATTACAACTACTCTTCATTCTTTTCTTTTGGTTCTTGCTGTAATTTTATTATTCTTCTGATCGTTACAGAATTAACTGATATTCTCTTTCCCAGTGAAGCACTCACAGGTGCTTCACCCACACCCAGGTTGCCTTCAGGATTCTTGGGGCGATTCCCAAGATCCAAAGGCTTCCTTTGGCAAACTTACCCTTTTTCCTCCCCCCTTCTCTCAGGCTGTGTGTTAGTTGGCCTGGCACTTGAAAAGGGGAGTAGAAGGCAGTAGCAGGAGAGGCTTCACTTCTCCCACCACATGTGGTGGAAGCCATTAAAACAGCTACTTATAGCTCTGTCAAATAAGCCAATGTCTGCTGATGAAGCTTGTAAATTGGTAATAAAGATTCAGGGGGTGGAAACTTGGTGCCTCAGGTGAAGGGAATGAGACTGAATGGCAGTGATGCCTGTGAGAAAAATCTCCCGCCTTACTAGAGCCACTGAATTTTTGTAACATCTGAGCTGCTCCTTAGAGCAGGTAGAATTAATTGTGAAATAAGTTGTAATATCGGCTGCCTGTAGGCAAAGGGCAGGATGTGATAATCCTGCAGGCTTTGAGATGTGGGGCTAGGAGGCAAAACTGTATCTTGGCCTTTTTCACCCTCTCTGCCTTGCTGTAAAGGTTCTGGTAGTAGCATTTGTATAGAGGTCCCTGAATATGTCTTGGCCCCTGGTTATGGTTTTGTTTGAATTCTTCAGGATCTAAAGGCTGGAAGAAAGCTGAAGATGAATAGCTTCTCTCCAAACTGCAGTTCATTAGCTTTTGTGAATATCATTTACTGCTCAAGTAATTTTTAAATAATGCGTGTTTCATAGAAATTTAATCTGAGAATCTGACAGCCTTTCTTCCTCTCATTGCATATGTGTACAACTATGCATTCAAAATACCGTAGGCTGTTTTTTGAATTGCAAAATGAGTTCTGAGATGTGGGATCCAAAACTTAACTTTCCTAGAAATTAGATTAAAATTTTAGCTTTTTTTTTTCTTTCTTTCTTTTGAGTTTATCCTGTACAAAATTACATTATCTTCATAAGGCTCTTAAAATTATAGTAAAAGGGAATTATGAAAAGTCTTGGGGTGGGTTTTTTTCACTATCATGCTTTGGAGTGACACTGAAAGCTTCTGTTTAGATAAGATTGTGATATGATGACACTGTGTGCATAAGACTTTTTTTTTTTTTTAGGTGTAAAGACTGTTTTTGGTAGAGGTTTTTAGTCTTCCACTGTCCAAGTTATTTGATTCTTGGCAATAAAGTGTATGAAATGTAAAGTTTTTTGAGCAGACTTATAGTCTGTTCACAAATATGGCTCCATCTACATTTGATAAGAAAAACAGGATGAAAAAAGGAAGAATAGTGGATGCCTAAAAACAGTTTGAAGGAGATGGAGCAGCTGAGAAAATGTGTTCAGGGCTTCGCTTCCCAGTTTTTTCTTAAGAT